GTGATGACATGAATATAAACTCAAAGAAATAAAAAGCCTGCAGTTTTGAATTTGAATTACATGAATTCTTAATGTATTTTCTCTAAAAATACACACATTCTAGCTCATTCCATTGAAAAACCCTAAATAAGGCAGCCAGTCCAGTAGTGATAGATTCATCTCAGAAACTAAACTCAGATTGTAGTTTAGTTTCCAATTTATTATAAATAGAAGGGCTTTTTGTTAAAGTGGCTGGGTTATAGCCTGAAGCAAGAAAGACACAAGATGAGCCTGGTACATCCTGTCATATTAGAAAGACACATAGGTTATCAAAGACTACTTTGGGTCTTGTCAGAAGTACTTAGGAGTTAATAAAGGGATTCCTTTTGGCTAAAGATGGGAGAGTTTGGAAATCAACAAGGATGCTTGACAGTGGATTAAAATTTGTTAAATAAATACAAATCCATGAGTTCATAATGGGACTTAAAAATTTTTTGGTCTACTTTGAAGGATGCTGGTGATTTCATTCATTTTGAAAACTGGTAAATAAGGAAAAGAAATGAAGGGCCTTTTCTTATACCTCAGAGTTAACAGATATGAGGGAAAGTTTCACTTTATGGAAGTGTTCCACCTAATAATGAAGAAAAGATGTATTGATTAACTGATAAATTTCATGATTTTACTGCCTCTAATGAATGAAGACACATGATCATCAATGGCTGCTAAAAATATTAGGTTATGAAGTGATGGAGAGCTTTATAATGGATGGATAAGGCTGGCAGTACCTGAATCCACAGATTTATACTAAAGCTCACAGAAAAGGAAACAACAAAACGTTAAGTGCCTTCTGGTGGAAGTCCACAATACCACTTATAAACTATTATTGTCAAGAAGAACTGAAGTTGAATCTGATCAAGCCTCTACATATAATAGCCAGTTTATAAGAAATACAAGGGACAGAAAAATAAGTTAAATGGTAACACAAGGGTGTGCTTTGCAAACTCGGGAAAGCAGACCAGTGGAAGAAACAATCATGAGACTAAAGGGATAGCCCGATGTGGAAATTTAATGTTACTCAATATACTTAATGTTTAATATAATAATAAATATCTTTAATATTGAAATATGATCTTTTAAGATATATTGGAATTGCACATCTACATATAGTTTTTTAGTTGAATCAAGATAGGCTTGAGTTGATAATTGTGGAGCTAGGTGAGAGATTCAAGATAATTCATCATATTGCTCTGTACATTTGAAATTATATATAAAAATATACTTGGGCCGGGCGCGGTGGCTCACACCTATAATCCCAGCACTTTGGGAGGCTGAGACGGGTGGATCACGAGGTCAAGAGATCGAGACCATCCTGGTCAACATGGTGAAACCCCATCTCTACTAAAAAAAAAAAGTACAAAAATTAGCTGAGCATGGTGGCGCACGCCTGTAGTCCCAGCTACTCAGGAGGCTGAGGCCGGAGAATTGCTTGAACCCAGGAGACGGAGGTTGCAGTGAGCCGAGATCGCACCATTGCACTCCAGCCTGGGTAACGAGCGAAACCCTGTCTCAAAAAAAAAATATATATATATATGTATATATATGTACACACACACACACACACACACACACGCTTGAAACTTTGAATTACTGTCTTTTAAATGTGATATTTCTCCTTAATTTTCTCTAAGAAAACTATAATTATATTACAGTATCTATTAATGATGAGGTTTTTTTTGGGAATTGAGTGAGGGATTCAGTGGGTTTATTTTTTTCCATGGGTCTGTTATCTGAATAAAGAATTTAGTATTTTTAATAATCCACCTACCACTTTAATATTGTGCCAGTGAGATTTAATGTACTTTGAGGGTAACTCTTAAGTGTTGTACAGATATTTCAGTTGTATAAAAGACTAGTAATATTGTTTATTACCTAAAATATTAATTGGAGATCAGAGATTTCATAGCCAAATTTGTGAGTTTTACATAAAATATGTAAAACTATATCCCTAATGTCTCTTTGATTTACTTACTTCGTCATCCATCTACCCATGAAACATTGTGCTCTTCATTTAGTACTTGACATAAGAGTAGCAATAAGTCAGTCCCAGCGCCACTCAAGGAACATACGGTCTTAGGTAGGGTACGTAAAAACAAAAACACTCAGTGATTATTACATTGTTTGCTTGTAACCAAGATAGAGGTGTATATTCAAGAAGTTTTGGGAGTGCTGAGGAAGGATACCTAATTTAACGTTGGGTTGGGATAGAGTTGGCAGAGATTTGTTGGAGGAGTAGCTATGAGATGGGACTCAAGTTAAAAATTACATAATGAAAAGAAAAGGAAAGGTACAAAGGCAGGAAATGGAAAGAGTAAGTGGCTTTCAGAGAATTACATGTACCTTGTCATGTAAGCTTGAACTTAGGGCTGTAAGTGAGCAACTAGCTGAAAATAGATTTGAGATTCCTGAAAGATCTCATACATGTTTGTTGAATTTTGTTATAGGACAGAAGACTTGAAAGGCCATGATCATCTTTTTATTTTAGAAAGAGCATTTTAGCAGAAGGCAGAAATAAAATTACTTTATTAGGGAGAGGCTTTTCATCTATTTTAGCTCAAAGTTTTATGTCTGTAACTTTTTTTCTGGCCCCATATATATTTTTCTTTCATTTAAAAAAAAATCTCTTTTTAAAAAAAATTATGGAAAACTTTTAACCTAATTCCAAAACTGAAGACTCATTTCAATTGCTATTCCTTCTATTCTTCCCTCCTTTTCTCTTCAGGTAATCATTTTTGAATTAGTTGGACCATTGTTGCTTTTCAAAAAATACAAGCTAGTATATATAAATATTTTTCCTTCTTATACAAAAGAAGCATTCTATAAACATTTTGTATCTTTTTTTCACTTAAACTGTATCTTAGATCATTCTATACCAGTAAATAAGATGTTTCTTACTCTTTTTTGCATATTCTTTATCCTGCTAAAGAAAAACTCAATAAAATAAATACCTTATTCAGTGTGTCTAATACCCAGGGTAAATACATTCTAACAATAAACCTGTGCCATTAGAGTAGCCTAGCCTCCGGCTGTTGCTTTATCTCCAGACAGAACTACTTTTGCCTAAAGAATGTGAAAGGAAAGATTTCTATATTAATTTAAGAATTTTGATTTGTTAACAAGCAGTTTTTACTTGCTATGCATCTGAAATGATTAATGAAGATATTATGAAGAATTATAGGCCCATGATGGCCCCCACAATTCAATCATTCATTCGTCTATCTACTTTTCACATATTTATTGAGCACCCATCTGTGTGGAGCTATGCTAGGTACACTGGAAAAAAGAAACAGGATCCTCATGACGCTTTTAAGCAATTAAAGAGATAGTGTTCTGCTTAACTATTTGATGAAGAATTCATTCAACAGCAGTTTCTTCTAAGTGTTTTCTAACTACTATACCAAACCTGGTTGTATCTTTAGTGCTCTCCATATATGTGGATCAGTTATCTTAAGCATAGCAAAGAATAGTTATCCTTTTATACGACTGTCTTGATGTTAAATAGTTCTTTTAACCTCTTTTAACGGTAAGGACTTTGTCTCATCTCAGTCTCTCCGCAGTGCCTAACACATGATAGTTCTCAATAAATTTTATTGAATAAATGAAAGATTTGCTTACCTACCGTGTTAAGGGAAAAATAAAATTATATGTCAGGAAAAATATCTTTTAATATCCTTGATAAAATTTCTCACATGGGATGCAAGTAAAATATGGCTTTAAAAATTAAAATTTAATACTCTGGTTTTGGACCTCAAAACCATGTGACCAGAGAGCAAACATGATGGCATAAATGATCTTTATAGCATAAGCCTTTAAGAAGCAAATTTTTATTTACCATTTCTACGAATAAAACATTTCTTCCATTAGATTTAAAGACACAACTGTGCTTGTTCATACTTTAAGCGTTTATATATTTTGTAGAATCAAAATTCTTCCTGCAAATTTTTATTTCTCTGTTTTCATGCAGAAATTATTAAATCCTTGTTCTGGAAAAAGGGAATTACTGTCCGTTGTCTCAGAGTAGTACCTCCATCTGGTGGCATTTTGGAAAATTACAGAAGAGGACAGAAGCTTGTATTTTCTTGCATATCTGTAAACTATATTACCTGTGGTTTCTCATAAAGCCAAATGAAATTACATCAAAAGCTGAGTCTACCATATATACCAGAAATTTAATGCCCTGGTTTTCAACATACAAACAAATGACATTGGGGATAATCACATAGTTAGCTGTTTAGTCCAGACCATTTCTGATCTTAGACTAAAAATTAGAAATGAAAAAAAGATACTTTATGAAATGTTAATCATGTATGTGTATACACCTTAGGAAATACGAGAAGTATGCTGTTTCAGATTTATTAATGAGGAACTTATTAATAAGTGATTTTCTCAGACAAGCAGTGTTACTGATGTTTTTAAATAAATTAATTTTATCATAGCTCAATTGTAATAAATCATATTCTCCTGGAGTGATAGAACATAGAAACTTGAAAATGAGCAGAAACTACAAATAAATTTCTGGCTGTTACTGTAAGAATTTTTTTTTTTTTTTTTTAACACATTTGATCTTTTCTTCACACATTTCCTACTTTATAATTATCAGAGCTTTATAAAGGTAGGTACCATGGCTTCAACTTCTTGATTTCTCAATTCCTAAGCTAGGATCTTGTACTTAGTAGGTTTTGCATATTGTTTTAGAAGAAGATTACGATCTTATTGCTTATGTTTTAGCCATAAAAATCTATAAATCTCTCAACTATGTAATCTATCATGTAGAAATAGATAAATCTATCAAGTATGACAGTTGTTACTATAGATTAACTAAATCAATTCCATTTTTTTGGCCAAAGATAGTTGAAATATTAAGTATGAAGTAAAATTTAATGATTTGGGGCTTTCTACTGACGTCTAAGAAAAATTAAATTCCTAATGAATTTTGTTTGAAATTGTTTATTTTCAAATTATAGCCAGTCGGATGATGATTCTGGGTCAGCTTCAGGCTCTGGATCTGGTTCGAGTTCTGGAAGCAGTAGTGATGGAAGCAGTAGCCAGTCAGGTAGCAGTGACTCTGACTCCGGATCTGAATCAGGCAGTCAGTCAGAGTCTGAGTCAGACACTTCCCGAGAAAACAAAGTTCAAGCAAAACCACCGAAAGTTGATGGAGCTGAGGTAATCAATAAAATACCCAATGAAAGGTAGATTGCTTGTATTACTTTGGGAAAATTTAGAGCATTGGTTTATACCATTCTTAATCTAGCTTTTAGAGAAGATGAAAAACATTTTATAATTTACTTTCAGTGATTCTCACATTCATGGTGGTACATCTGTGGACTAATTGGCTTGGAATAGATGCAGTCTCAAACTAGAAAACACAAAGTATAAATCGCATACACACAAATGAAACTTTTTCTGCCTCTTGGGCAGAAATTGAGTTTCATAAACAAACATCCATTGTGTCATAGAGAAGAATTTAAGACTTCATGAGGTCTACTTGTTAACCGTACTGTGTATGATCTCTGCTTTCAAGATCTTCAAAGGAGATACTTTATTGCTAATAGCAGGATAATTTAATAGAACTTAGAGTCCTCAAATATAATGATAGAATAGGGTAAGGGGCTATTATGTTTGAAGAAAGCTACTACAAGAGATAGAAAAACTAGTCTATACTTGATAATGATATAGTGTTACTTGGAGTACCAGTCCATGAGGAGATAAGATGCTTGAGGGCCAGAATATAAATTGACACACAGCTTCCTTCATAGAGAAAATCTTGCTGCCACCCCCCTCAATGTCTAAACTATAACATTGTACCTAGTGACATCCTTGATGTATATTCTGACTTAGCCTCTTCATCTCACACTGATAAAATAGGTAACCACACTATGAGTAGCACTGATATATAGCGTATTATCACTTTGTTGTTGAAAATAATGCTGTTAACATCAAGAGGATATTGATTAATATTGTCTGTGGAACTCAACACACCAATTTTTTAAATATATAACTAAAACTCAGCATTTTATTTAATTACCTTGCAATGATAATTTTGTTACATATAAGTAAGGAAAATAGTCTTCATTACTTTGAGGCAGTAAAAATGGTGGTGTAGTTTTTCAATAAATTAACCTTTTTTTGCAGTTTTCTTAATACTTCATCATTCACTGGTTTATATTTCTATTATAGTTTTGGAAATCTAGCCCTAGTATTCTGGCCGTTCAGAGATCTGCAATGCTCAAGAAGCAGCAGCAGCAGCAACAGCAACAACAACAACAGCATCAAGCCTCATCCAATAGCGGATCAGAAGAGGTGCATTTTCATCATGAGCTATTATTTTAAAAGTGGATGTGCTGGTGAATCACTTAACTAGTATTTGTGAAATTAATTAAAAATAGGTGCTTTGAAAGAATAAATAGGAAATACTTTAAGTGCATGTATTAAGAATCTTGAAATACAGACTTGGCATTATCCAATAATTCCAATTTTAGGGATTAATCCAAAATAAGCAGTGGGACATTTGTATGCATTTGCTCATCACAGCAAAATTAGAAATAAATGTGAAATCCATGGGAAATAATTAAATGTAATGTGCTCCTACGCACGTATATCCATGTACATATATGAATAAAGGAATATTATACTGTTAAATCATATTTGTACAAAATAATAACAATTCTCAACATATTTTTGAAAGAATAGATAGCCACTCTATAAACAATTTCATTTCTTTGTATGCAAGCATACATACACATATGTTTGCACAAAAACATTTAGGAAAAATTATAATTCGAAGTTATGGTGAAGAAAAAGTTAGTTCAAAATTTGGCATGCTGGCACCTAGGATTCCTTGTTGTGGCCACAGTAGGCAACAGAAATGGTCTCCAGAGAGGGTAGATTTTAAGGTTTTATGCAAAATGCTGTCGTTGTGCAGTTTACCTAGTTTCACTGGCTATATTAATTTGCAATAAAAATGTTACTAATTATTTTTGGCTAGTTAATGTAAATAAAACTACATTTAAAAAAGACTTCACAAGTACTGTTATTCGTAAAGTGAATGTTAAATAGTATAGCAAGTAAAAATTTTATATGGCTAAATTCTGATGATTAGTGAATGATACAATTTTTTTTTCTACAGGATTCCTCTAGCAGTGAAGATTCTGATGACTCATCAAGTGAGGTTAAAAGGAAAAAGCATAAAGAGTATGTAATTTTTTTCAACTGACTTCTTCCTCTTAGAAAAATCCTAATGATTTTGTATTTATTTCTTTATGAAAATTGTTGCCAAAAGGAGACTTTTCTAAATTCTTGGTTCATGGCATTTTATAAAGTTAATTTACATCATTACACAATTAAAGATAAATCTCTGACATCTTTCGGTGACCACCTGAAGGTATTATGCCATTTCTTTATCTCCTATAACGTCCCCTATATATTTTTAAACTTTAAAATCTCCTTAGTTGTAATATCAGAAAATCTTAATAACTTGGGCAATATAGGAGAAGAGGGATGACAGGATGACTGATTTTGGATGATTCTTTTAATTATGTTAATAGCTATCCTTACTGTTCAGCTGCATGTGAAATTTACTTCATACTGCAGAACTCATTTTAGAACTCACTATAATTTTCTAAAGATCTTGACCCAGAAAGTATTAAGAATACTTCAGATTCTCAATCCATGTTCATTTAAATGGTTTGGAAACGTTATTCCATTGTCTTGTCATTTTTCTATTTGCTTTTGATATTCTGCATGTTGGATTTGTTAATTATTTTTCCCAAAAGATTCATGGGTTTTTAGTGTGAAGATTCATGTTTTTTAGTGTGTTTATCTTTTATTCCGAAAAATCGATGATTTTATCTTTGGATTTTTTTCCTTTTCAAAACTACGAATCTCTCTGGTCCTTCTATTAATAGATATATATTGGATCATCTAGGGTTTTTTCCCATGAATCTTACTATATCATGCTTTTAATCCCTTTATTGGCATGCTGAGTTCTGATTAATTTTCTTAGATTTGTCTTCTAGTTTTTAAATACAGCATCATTGCATTTTCAACTACTGTGTATTATCAGCTGTTTTAACTCTTCCACTGAGTTGAGAACATATTATTGCAAGCAAATAATATGTTTAAAAAAATGAGTAATTTGGGACAATAGACTTCCTTGGATGTAAAAATTATAATTTGTGTTATAAATGTAAAATGGAGACTATTTTCAGTGTGCAAACCCTAAAAAGATTTCAAAGTAAAATAGAATTTGCTTTTGTTATGTTTTTATCATAAGCAGATTTTATCATATATACTTATTTATGTAGCCTTCATCATAAATACAATTGGTGCAAAAGTTACACAGCAATGAAGCAGAAGCATAACTGAAATAGGATATAGTGTATTTGTAAGAATTAAATGTGTGTCTTTCATTTGAACTTCATATAATAGCAGAATATTAACATTCATCAGTGTTTTTTCTCTACATGTTGATTGGGATGAAATAGACTTAATAGACTAAAAACAGTAATAAAGGTAAGGTACTCAATGAATGAGAAGGTACTACTGCTTCAGTTTTTTCTTTTACATTTTTCTATACTATAAGTTTTTCTTAATATCTACTATTTAAAAAATCAGTGTAAAAGTGTGTTTTTCAGAATCACAGCCTCTAGAGAATTAAAATGGCATGGATTCATATTTCTTTTTTGAGAGGGCAAGTAGAATAATTACACAAGATTTTAATCTATAATGAAAATTAAAATATCACTTATTTATTTGCCGTTCACTGCTGTATGACTAAGTGATTAACAAAACTGGAGTTGTGAGAGAAGTCTATGAAGAATATTTTCCAGAGTGTTTTTATTCTACAGTTCCATCATTTTCAGCATGAGTAAAAGCAACAGCGTTTTTCATAATAACTGAAATATAGTTTAGTTGATTTGATCATCTTTGTAGTTTATTAGGGATAAAATTTGTCATATAAGTACAAATAAAAATACTTTATAAATTTTGTCTACAGTGAAGATTGGCAAATGTCTGGGTCAGGATCTCCATCTCAGTCTGGTTCAGATTCAGAATCTGAAGAAGAGAGAGATAAAAGCAGTTGTGATGAAACGGAATCTGATTATGAGCCAAAAAACAAAGTCAAAAGCAGAAAACCTCAAAATAGGTATGGTCTGTTTGATAGTGAAAATTGGTTGTGGAAGGTATACATTCTTTTTGTATACAGTTTCTTAAATCTTGTTTTTTTTTTCTCCTTGCCCTTTCCTAGATCTAAGTCAAAAAATGGAAAGAAAATTCTTGGACAAAAAAAGAGACAGATTGATTCCTCTGAGGAGGAGGATGATGAAGAAGATTATGATAATGATAAAAGAAGTTCTCGTCGCCAAGCAACTGTTAATGTTAGCTATAAGGAGGATGAAGAAATGAAAACAGATTCTGATGACCTACTGGAAGTCTGTGGAGAGGATGTTCCTCAACCTGAGGAAGAGGAATTTGAAACCATAGAAAAGTTTATGGATTGTCGGATTGGGAGAAAAGGAGGTAGTTTTTAAAAACATTTATTGTTTGGTTGTTTAAATAATATTTACAAGAGTAAAGGGCTAAGTGCAGTGGCTCACACCTGTAATCCCAACACTTTGGGAGGCTGAGGCAGGTGGATCACGTGAGGTCAGGAGTTCTAGACCAACCTGGCCAATGTGGCAAAACTCCATCTCTACTGAAAATACAAAAATCAGCTGGGCGTGGTAGTGCGCGCCTGTAGTTCCAGTTACTTGGGAAGCTGAGGCAAGGGAATCGCTTGAACCCAGGAGGCCGAGGTTGCAGCGAGCTGAGGTGTCCAGCCTGGGTGACAGAGTGAAACTTAGTCTCAAAAAAAAAAAAAAAAGATAGTGAAGTATTAGAGAGCTTTCAACATAGAGAGCTTTCAACAATGTTGAAAGCTAAGAGGGTAGATTGTTTTACTTGTTGCAAAAGCATACTTTGCTTAGCCTGAGTATCCTAGAAAATAACCACCTGACCACATGTCATATATTGTGGATAATTATAGAATAATTATGTGGGATCTCAGATGGACCTCTGTCTTATTTTTTCTAGTTTGAAAGAGGAGGGGATTATATTAGATAAATCTGAAATTCTCAGTTTCTTTTGTTTATGTGTAATAGAATTTCCCATAAGCGTCTATACCCTTGATACTTCATTTACTTTTTAAAAGAGTATATATTTTGATATTCATATTTTTGAACTTTTGAGTTGAAATACAATCCTACAACAGAATTACATGGAAGGAAGGTCTTGTGCTTGTGTTTTCAGCTACTGGTGCTACTACAACCATCTATGCCATTGAAGCTGATGGTGACCCAAATGCAGGCTTTGAAAAAAACAAAGAACCAGGAGAGATTCAGTATTTAATTAAATGGAAAGGATGGTCCCATATCCACAACACTTGGGAGACAGAAGAAACCCTCAAACAGCAGAATGTTAGAGGAATGAAAAAACTGGATAATTATAAGAAAAAAGATCAGGAAACAAAAAGATGGTAAGTATGCTGTGTGTCATATACTTTTTTTTTTAATAGTTCAAAGGTTACTAAGCCTTTATGTTAATAAAGAATACATAATTAAATTAAAGGATAGCCTAAAATAACTGTTTATACCCTTTATAATACAGTTGGCCCTCTGTATCCACAACTTCTGTATCCTTGGTTTCAACCAACCATGGATTGAAAGTATGCGGAGGAAAAATACAGTGAAAAACACCAGTACAACAATCAATAATAAAAATTAAAAACAATACCTTGTTTTTACAAAAACATAGATTTTGCCTGTGAAATACATGAGACTCATGTTTTGGCAGGAACTTAATTTTCTCTGTAAATTTTTGTTTTAAAAAAAAGGCAAAATATTTCACTGTTCATTTTTGTTAGAGCAGTAGAAAACAGTATTGATAGAACCCTCCAGATACATTTGGAGTAATGGAATCTCTGAGCTTAATGATTTGAGATGAAATCTCAGGATTATGGTAAAGCTGAGGTTTTCATCTTTTGGTATAATTTCTTACATTTAATAATATAAAACAACTATTAACACTGCATTTACATTGTATTAGGTATTATAAGAATATCTAGAGATGATTTAATGTGTAGGGGAGGATGTGTGTGGATTACATTGCAAGTACCATGCCATTCCATATAAGGAACTTGAGCATACTCAGATTCTGGTATCTGTAGAGGATCCTGAACCAATCCCCTGCAAGTGCTGAGGGATGATTTTATTCCATTTCAAGGTAAAACTCCTAAGGGTATCCCTATCTAAACCTGTCCTCGGTAACAGTCATGTAGAGTGTGTGTCATACATTATAAATTACCAATTTTTAGTTAAAAATTAATGGTGCTTTATTCCTATTTCATTTTCTTTCTTACTCAAACTTGGCCCACACAGTAAGTGGCAAAATGGGAGATTTTGTGCTACAAATAGTGTTGGGGATGGGGGCCTAATAGGTTATTTATGGGAGATTTTTAAATCTGTTCCTGGATTAATTTTTCAGGTTGAAAAATGCTTCTCCAGAAGATGTGGAATATTATAATTGTCAGCAAGAACTTACAGATGATCTACATAAACAGTATCAAATAGTGGAACGTATAATTGGTTAGTGATAAATGATTCTGGTTAAACTTTTTATCTTTTTATGCTTGAACTAATCAAAAAAGTCATAAATTTGCCACTTACACATCAAACACAGTTGATGTTAAAATATAATATCTCTTTTATTAAAACAGATAAACTAGATAGCTAAATTTTACATGTGTAGCCTTTACTGAGAATTATGTATCTGATGATTAAATGTAAAAAAAAAAAGAAAAAAAAATAAGTAAATGCCTGATTTATCTCACAGCTCATTCCAATCAAAAGTCAGCAGCTGGTTATCCTGATTATTATTGCAAGTGGCAGGGCCTTCCATACTCAGAATGCAGCTGGGAAGATGGAGCTCTCATTTCCAAAAAGTTTCAACCATGCATTGATGAGTATTTTAGCAGGAACCAATCAAAAACCACTCCTTTTAAAGATTGCAAAGTGAGTATTGTCTGACATTTTAAATTATTAAAAATATATTTATGCTTTATAAATATTTACAAGCCTAAATACAAGAGTCGGATCCTGATTTCAGATAGACTAAGGGAGAAGGTTTCTTGGTTAATAGGTCTTACGGAAAGTGAACTTCCTACAATTGCTGTGTGTTTTTAGTTTTGGTTTTAGTTTTAGAATTTTTTATTTCAAACTTTCTCTTTTTAAAAAAATTGTAAATGATGTTTCGGTCAATGTATCTTCTTAAATGTTGTATTGTCTTTTATCCTTGTTGAGCATCACTATGTCAGAAAGATGATAAGTTGGTTATGGTGATTGCTTTTGGGGAAGAGTTGGGAGACTAAATAGAGAAAAACCCTTGGAAACTAGAGACATGCTCAATTTTAAATATAGTGGATATTTTCTTAGAAGGTAGAGAAGGAGGAGAGGGTTATAGCAAAGTATCCAGAACTACATTGCACAATACTTTCTGAATCCTTGTAGCTTACTCAAAGTTACTAGTGATAGTGTTGGGAATCTGTGTACTGCTAGACTTTCTTTCCTTATTACAAGAATTACACTCTTCATAGGGATAACTTGGAATTCAGAAATTGAATGGTAAGCAGTTTTATGGTTTATTTCTAGCGTAAGGCTGGAGCAATGGTTGTGAACAATTTAACATACATAGGTATTGCTTGTGAAATACATGAGACTCATATTTTGGCAGGAACTTAATTTTCTCTATAAATTTTTGTTTTAAAAAGAAGGCAAAATATTTCACTGTTCATTTTTGTTAGAGCAGTAGAAAACAGTATTGATAGAACCCTCCAGATACATTTGGAGTAACGGAATCTCTGAGCTTGATGATTTGAGATGAAATCTCAGGATTACGGTAAAGCTGAGGTTTTCATCTTTTAGTATAATTTCTTATATTTAATAATTCTACATAATAATGTTTATGTCTACTGAAGGTATTAAAACAAAGGCCAAGGTTTGTAGCCCTGAAGAAGCAGCCAGCCTATATTGGAGGACATGAGGGCTTAGAATTAAGAGATTATCAACTGAATGGTTTAAATTGGCTTGCTCATTCTTGGTGCAAGTAAGTATGTTTTGAATCATGTATTTAATTTGACACAGTAAGAATTTTACCAACAGGATTCAGAAAATATTTCCATTAACATAAAGGACGCTTTGGCAGTTGATATGCTAGTCTTTGGTATTTTCTAGTGTATATAAACTAATTATTACATACTGGGAAGAAAATCCAGTGGAGTTTGAGTTTAACTTGTTTGTTGTCTTTTTAAAATATATTTTTATTCAATTTAAAAATCAGTATGCATATCCATTCTCATCCCATGCTGTTTCTGGCATATTTCTCTTTTTCCTGGTTATTTTAATATCTACTTAGTCTTCTAATTTTTTTTCTATCTTGTATGGCCCCCATTCTACTTTTATGACTCTTGGTTGCAATTTTGCTATAGTTTTTTTTTTTTTTAATCTATGTTCTTCCTATACACTTTTTACTTATTTAATATATCTGGACTCTACTATACTAGTAGATGAACTGCATTATTGGCTTCATAATTGATTAAACGTAATACTATTAATCATTAAGCCTGTTCTGGCCTAAAATGGTAATCTCCTTTTACTTGCCTTACAGTATTAGTGATAAAGTCTTTAGCCAGATACCTTTACATTTATTATTTGTGGTTAATAAAAGTGGTATATTCTGTATATTACCTATCAGATTAATTTTATTTAACTTCATATAAACATATACACATGATGTAAAAAGGTTTCTTTGTATATTTGAATCTTTCCTTACATGCGAATTTTTTTTTTAACTTTGTAGAGGAAATAGTTGCATACTCGCTGATGAAATGGGCCTTGGAAAAACAATACAGACGATCTCATTTCTGAATTATTTGTTTCATGAACATCAATTATATGGACCTTTTCTGTTGGTAGTACCGCTCTCCACTCTCACTTCCTGGCAAAGGGAAATTCAGACATGGGCTTCTCAAATGAATGCTGTGGTTTATTTAGGTGACATTAATAGCAGAAACATGGTAAGTGGTTTCCTTGTAAATGTAGAAATCATAATATACTTGTCTTTGAGATCGAGTGTTTTTGTGTTTTTTGTTGCTGTTGTTTGTTTGTTTGTTTTTTTGAAATGAGGTTTTACTCTCTCTCTCAGGCTAGAGTGCAGTGGTGGGATCTTGGCTTACTGCAACTTCCGCCTCTCGGGCTCAAGCTTCCTAAGTAGCTGGGACCACAGGAGCACGCCACCACACCCAGCTAATTTTTTATATTTTTTAGTGGAGACAAGGTTTTGCTGTGTTGCACAGGCTGGTTTTGAACTCCTAAGCCCAAGTGATCTTCTTGTCTTGGCCTCCCAGAGTGCTGGGATTACAGGCCTGAGCCACCATGCCTGGCCTAACAAGGATGAGGGTTTTTGTTTTGTTTTTGGTCTTTATAAAAATCTTTGTTTCTGGCATAGAATTTGCCACAAACAAGTTCTCAGTACCTGTTTAATTGACTATAACAAAGCCAGTTTTGGTTCAGTGTTATTTCATATATATGACAGGTTTTTTGTGTGTGTGGTTTTTTTGTTTTTTTGTTTTTTTGTTTTTGTTTTTTTTTTTTTTTTTGGGCACTCTGTCATCCAAGCTGGATTACATTGGTATTGTGATCTCGGCTCACTACAACCTCCGCCTTCCAAGCTCAAGTGATTCTCCTGCCTCAGCCTTCCAAGTAGCTGGCATTACAAGCACCTGCCACTATACCTGGCTAATTTTTGTATTTTTTGTAAAGATGGGGGTTTCACTGTGTTGCCCAGGCTGGTCTCAAACTCCTGACCTCAAGTGATCTATCTACCCTCCTTGGCCTCCCAAAGTGCTGGGATTACAGGCACGAGCCACCAAGCCAACCTTACATTTTTAATGGAGAATTTCAAATGTACATGAGAGCAGACAGAAGAATGTAATAAACTCTTATGTTCTCATCTTCAGTTTCACAAATTTACTGCTGGTTTTGTTTTGTCTGTACTTCTGCACACTACTTTCCTAGCTACTGTGAAGCAAACCCCAGACATCATATTTCAGTCATAAATGTTACGTTATTAAATGAATTAATCTTTTATGTTTTGTTAAATAAGAATTTTCCTTTTGTGTAAGTTGTATGTTAAAATTGTGCTTCATATTTAAGAAGTGCTGTGGTATTTATATTTTATTTACAAGATTCACATAGCATGGACTATATAAAGAACAGCTAATTATGTAAACGTATTTACAGTTATTTACGTATTTGGATGGATTTTAATTTTTAGATATGTAAGTAAAAGTATAATTTGCTTGATGTTTGTCTTAAAATTGTCCTTCAAATTTCTTGATAGATAAGAACTCATGAATGGATGCATCCTCAGACCAAACGGTTAAAATTTAATATACTGTTAACAACTTACGAAATTTTATTAAAGGATAAGGTATGTATTTATTTCTCATGTGTTTCTGTCTATTGTATATCAGTTCTTTATGCTGTAGACAAGATGAGAGAATAGTCTAAATCATGAGTCAGCAAATTATAGCCTGTGGTTTTATTTTTTTAATGACTCTTGAACTAAGAATGGTTTTTACATTTTTGAAAGGTTACTTTTAAAGGGTCATAGAAAGAATATGTGACAGAGACCACATATTTATCTGCAAAGTCTGAAATATTTACTATCTTGCTCTTTATGGAAAAAGCTTGCCAACTCAACCTAGTGAAACCATTTTGTTACAGTGTGTATTGATTTGTAAGCTCTTTAAAGAAGAGGAAGATACCTAATAGGATTAAGCTACCACTGTGTGACGCAATGAAGGCTTTATAGATACTGCCTCATTTAATTCCTCCATCTACTTTATATTCACTTTCTATCCATCTACTTTTGAAAAGAAAATTAGTCTTAAGAAAGGAATGTCTCAACTTGCCTATGGTAACACAGCTCTTAAGTAGCAGAATCAGGCCTGCTGTAACTCAGAGGCCTGAATTTATAAGTTCTACAGTTCATAAAAGCGCAGTGAATTGTACCAACACTTGGAATAAGACACTGTTCTGAATTTGTGTCATAGTTTTTTTTCACATTGATATTAATAGAGGCCTCTATTGGAGTTAGGCTAAAAGTCGTCGTAAAAATTTTAAATGACACTTCTGATTTTTCTCTGTTAATTATCAGTTTATAAGCTAATAAAAACTTTGGCTTGATACTATGTTCTAGTGGTTAAATTTGTCATAGAAGGAATATGTAGTGAGTTACTTAGGCATTCATTGTAATAAATCTTGAGAGAATTCTTTTTTGAAAATTAGACATAGTTTTTAATTTTCATTTGTTTCATTTTAATAATTGAGTTCAGATTAAGTGGGAAGTTTAAATTCGAATTCAGTTTTTCTCAAAATATTATTTTTCTGTTATTTTAAGGCATTCCTTGGAGGTCTGAATTGGGCATTTATAGGTGTTGATGAAGCACATCGATTAAAGAATGATGACTCCCTTCTGTATAAAACTTTAATAGATTTTAAATCCAATCATCGTCTCCTTATCACTGGAACTCCTCTACAAAATTCCCTTAAAGAGCTCTGGTCTTTGCTACATTTCATTATGCCAGAAAAGTAAGACAAATTTGCAGTTTTAATTATAGTTTTGTATAGTTATGTTTAGTGGGGAAAAACCCAGGTAATAAGATCAGTAAGAATTTTTATTTCCTTAAAAGATTAGATCACAGATTACAAAGAATTTTTTAAAAATGAAAATGGGGTTAGCTACTTTGTTATACTATTTGAATTTTTCAATTTTGCTAATAAACGTAAGCCACGTGTAATAAATCACAACAGTTGATTTTGAGCATGTTCAAAATATACCTCGCTTGGAAAACTAACACAGTGCCATTCTTTGTATTTAATAGTTGGAGTAACAACAATGAGGTACTGGTAATCCCTTTTCCTAAATGAGGAAAGCTAAACTAGACAAGGCTAAATATGTTCCTTAAGATCACTACTTGTTCTTTCAGTAGATCTAGAACTTGGTCCAGAACTTGAAAAGAATATTTTTGAGAAATACTTTAGTGATAATTACTACCATACTTCAAAACACTTCATATTCCCCTGATTCAAGAATCATAACTTATAAAACAATTACATTTCGTCGTACCTCTACTTGGGAGGAAGATTTTTAGAAGTAACTTAAGTTTAGCTAATTTTTTTTTTCTAAAAATCTGTATTATTTTGTTTACAAATGACTCCCTTAAAAAAAAAAAACTCTCATACACAATTTGACTTTTTCTAGTGATTTTGCAATTTCTTAAATTTTAAAGGTTTTCTTCCTGGGAAGATTTTGAAGAAGAACATGGCAAAGGGAGAGAATATGGTTATGCAAGCCTTCACAAGGAGCTTGAGCCGTTTCTGTTACGCCGAGTTAAGAAAGATGTGGAAAAATCTCTTCCTGCCAAGGTTGAGCAGATTTTAAGAATGGAAATGAGTGCTTTACAGAAACAATATTACAAGTAAGCTGTACACTGAGCACATGTTCTGACCACCTTCCATGTCTGTGTCCTCCTCTTGGTGCCCCTACCTTCTTCTCTACAATGGTGTCTTAGAGCTGTTGCAATTCTAGAATTAGTTTATTCTGTGCCATAAGGAGGCAAAGGGAAATTTAATGACATGTCCAAAATGATGTGTGACAAAGACTGAGTAATTGATCTTCTAACACATTAATTGTTTTCCTAGATACCATACTGTTAACTTATAAAGAGTTTCAGTGTTAGGATTTCCATTATATGAAGGTATTATATGATTATGACAATTAACAGATAGAGACCAAAAAAAAGAAACTTCGAACAAAATTTTAGGCCCTGCTGCTTTTTGAAGAGTATTAACAAATCATAGCTGGTGTAAATTTGTATGTTAAGATCTATACAGTAGCACTTTTCAAAGAATCAGAAAGGAAAATCTGTTGTAATATCTGTTTAAACATTTAATTGCATAAAACGAAATACATTGATACAAATCATTTGGAGTTTCAGAAACATTTATATTTTATGGTAAATAAATAGGTGCCATACATTTGAAAGAATATCCTTATTGCATAATTTTTATTATGGAATATTTCAGACATATACAAAAATAGGATAATTCAATGAACTCTTGTACCCATGACTCAGCTTTACTTTCTTTTTTTGTTTGTTTTTTGAGACGGAATCTCCCTCCATACTCCAGGTGGCATGATCTTGGCTCACTGCAACCTCCACCTTCCAGTTTCAAATGATTTTAGTGCTTCAGCCTCTTGAGTAGCTGGATTTACAGGTGTGCCCCACAATGCCCTGCTAATTTTTTTTATTTTTAGTAGAGACAGGGTTTCGCCATGTTGGCCAAGCTGGTCTGGAATGCCTGGCCTCAGGCAATCTACTGGTCTCAGCCTTCTATAGTGCTGGGGTTACAGGTGTGAGCCACTATGCCTAGCCCCAGCTTCACTTTCAGCTTGTAGCTAGTTGTTTTATATTTCTGATCATCCCCATTTCCCCCAGTCCCTATCCTTTTGAAGCAAATCAGAGACATTTTTCCATGAACATTTTTCCGTAAACATTTTTCTATGTGTCTCTAATAATTGATTTTTTAAAATATTAGTACCACCTAGGCACTGTGGCTCATGCCTGTCATCTCAACACTTTGGGAGGCTGAGTGGGCAGATCACTTGAGCCTCGAGTTTGAGACCAGCCTCGACAACATGGCAAAACCCTGTTTCTACCCAAAATACAAAACAATTAGCCCGCAGTAATGGTGCGTACCTGTAGTCCCAGCTACTTGGGAGGCTGAGGTGGGAGGATTGCTTGAGTCCGTGAGGCGGAGGTTGCAGTGAACCAAGGTCATGCCATTGTACTCCAGCCTGGGTGACAGTGAGACCCGTCTTAAAATAAATAACCCACTTTAAAATTTTCACAATAATTTAGGAAATTATTGTTCTCTCAGCAGAATCAAGTTATTTCTTAATACCAACATTCAGTATCAGTGTTGAGTTTTTCTCTGTTGTCTGAAAAAAAAATTTTTAAGTTTACTTGAAGCAGGATTGAGATAAGTTTATATATGGCAATTGATTTGTCTCTGAGTTGCTTATCTATGGTTACTTTTTTGTTAAAATTTATTTGATGAGGAAAACAGTTAATTCTGTATAATTTTTCCACAATCTAGATTTTGCATAGTACTTCCCTCTAGAATAGTTTAAAAGTATCCCCTGTATTTCCCATAGGTTGTAGGTAGATCTAGGTGCTTGATAATACTCCAATTTTAATTATGACAAGAGTGTGTTTTGTAGTGCACAATGGTGATTATCTAATTTTGTTATGGGGTTCTTTGACAAAAAAGCAATGTGTTTTATAGAAAGTTTGGAAAGGAAAGTCAAAGCAGGAAGAAGACACATTCACCTGTAATTCTCTCAGTGCTAGTCATATATCGTGGATATTGAACTTAAACTCTTCAAGGTACTTTTTGGCAACTGAGGTAATAAGATACTGCCATAAATTTCTGTAAAACATCTTAGAATTATTGCCGCTAGAGAAATTAATAAGAAAATTTTTCTGGATAAGGAATAATAGTCCTTTATTCTTGATTACCTCTTATGGCATCGACCATTGTCCATGTGTTTTATTTTGCTTTTCATTCCAGTTTTGGGAAAGTGCCTATACAACTAGTGGTAAAAAGAATGGTAAAAAAAGAATAGGCACACTAGATAGTTGAGACTTCAAGTCCTTTCGAAAACTGACCTTGTGAAAAGGAAGAAAATAAAAGGTAGAAAAGGTCATAGTGAGAGGAAATTTTTCTTTTCTTTTTTAAATTCAGCTTTTGTTTTAGATACTAGAAGTACACATGCAGGTTTGTTGCATGGGTATATTACATCCAGGTAGTGAGTTGTGGTAGGAGGTAGGTAGTTTTCAACCCATGTTCCTCTTCCTCCTGCCCCCCCTTGCCCCCCTTTAGTAGTCCACAGTGTTACATGTTTATATCCATATGTGCCCAGTGTTTAACTCGCACTTACAGGTGAGAACATGCAGTATTTGGTTTTCTGTTTATGTGCTAATTCACTTAGAATTATGGTCTTTAGCTCCATCCATGGACGTTATTTTATTTGAAGGACATTATTTCATCCTTTTTTTTTCCACGAATGTGTAGTATTTATCATGCACATATACAAAAAAATATGGAGTGTTCATGGATTTGTATGTCATTCTTGTACAGGGACAGTACAAATCTCTGTATCATTCCAGTTTTAGTATAATTGCTGCTGAAGCGAGCACAGGAAATGTTACAGTTTGGAGTAGTAAAATAGCACCAAAATGTTTTAAGTTGCATATGTATTGTGTAATTGCAATCTAGAGAAGGCAGTGTGGCTAAAACAAGGTATCCTCAGGTTTCTTTTAGGTCCATGCCAAAGATCCAATTTCATTTGCTGTCTAATGCAGTCAAAGTTGTAAGAAGATTAAGATAAATAATGCAGCTGACTATCTTTTTAGCGAATTTGAGGGGGAAAGGATTAATACAGTATAATAATTATGTTACATTAAGCCTTTTCTCTGTGTAGCTAATGGTTCAGAAAACAAATGGTGTTCTCATGAGTATCATGAAAGAGGTTTGGTCCATTGTATATCCAATTGTGAATTTCATAACAGTACAATTTTACTTTGGTACTAGGTTTTGCCTTTTTTTTTTTTTTTTAATGCTTTTAGAATTTATCCTGGTAATTTTTCTGCTAAACATCATTTTTATGATTTTTTTCAAAGATGGATTTTAACTAGGAATTACAAAGCCCTCAGCAAAGGTTCCAAGGGCAGTACCTCAGGCTTTTTGAACATTATGATGGAGCTAAAGAAATGTTGTAACCATTGCTACCTCATTAAACCACCAGATAATAATGAATTCTATAATAAACAGGAGGCCTTACAAGTAAGAATTTTTAAATGTTGTTACTTTGTGATAAAATTCTAGAAATGTTTATTCACTTACAATAGAAAATGGCTCAATGCTTTAATATATTGTTTATCTTTAGTTAGTGCTGCCTTAAATAATTGTCTCAGTTATTTTTTAATCTTTGTAGAAAAGATTTTAAAATTCTAATTTATCTAATTATTTTGATGAATTTTCTAAAAACAGATCTCTCAAACCATGGACTGTAGTAACTTATCCAGCAAAAAATCCTACAGTACGTTCATAATTATAAACAAAATTCATTAATACTAATTATGCTGCATTTGTGATTTGTTAAATGGTAGTCTAAAGGATATCTGAACCTCACATCTTAGCCCTTCCCTGGTACTTCTGAAAGATAAATCAGAAGTGTGAAGGCACACCTGCAGTCCAGCCACTGTAGTGTATTGAAGGGCTAGGATCAGCGTCTAATATTAATACATTAGAAATCATTTGCTTACTCTTTTTAAACCTTTGGTTGTTTAGTTGCTTCTGCCTCCAGTGTAATTGTTCTTCAGCTAAGATTTTTGGAGAAACACTGTGGTATAGTAACTAGCAAACAGAGTGATATAGTACTTTTTACCTTCCCGACAATACAAAAACCTAGGTGTGATATGGCAAGGAAAATGTTAGCTTAAGTCATAGAGTGAATGGTAAATAAAGGTCTTAGAAATTTTGAAAAGTAAAATAAGTTGTTGTCTAACATTGTGAAAAAGTCTCAATTTAAAATAATTCAGGCGACTAAAGTGTTACATGGACAACTTATCACATCTTTTAACATATAACAACTTTAATTTATCGTTTCTGTAGCACTTAATTCGTAGTAGCGGAAAATTGATTCTTCTTGACAAGCTATTAATTCGCCTAAGAGAACGAGGCAATCGAGTTCTTATTTTTTCACAAATGGTGCGGATGTTAGATATACTTGCAGAATATTTGAAATACCGTCAATTTCCTTTTCAAGTAAGCATTTAATTGTACTTGTTTTAAATTTTAATTCCTGAGCATATTTCACAGAATTGCCTTTGAAATTATTTTGTAAGTGTTTAGGTTTTTATATAAGATATACTTTTCCTTTAAAGAGATATGCCTCCTTTAAAAAAAATTTGTCATTCCCTTTTTTCTTTTTGACTTTATGTATTGCAATAAAATTTTTCTTCGTTTCCTCTAATTTTTATTTTCTTTTAATTTTGCCTTTTTCTTCTATACTTGCTTTAGATTTTAAAAACTGATCTAAGGCAGAGTTTTCTTGATTGGACAGATCTCAAAACAGGGAAGCCTTTAGTCTTTAATCTGAATGAGGGAAACAGCAAGCAGTCTCTGTGAATGTGAATGCTGCCAAGATTCTAATGACTGTTGTGCTCATAGTTAGCTGACGCAGTGTTTGCTGAGTAAAACTAGATAACGTTAGAGAAGAAACTAAAGACCAAAATTCTCACTCATCTATTCAAAATTTATATTGAAGTTCATTCAATATAACTAAAGCTAATATTGATGAGTGTTTAAAGTCAGGTTCTATTTTCAGTACTTTACATCTAATTATTTAATTCTCGAAGCAATTTTATGAACATAGCAGACATTTGTAGATACAGCTAGTAAATGGTGTATAATTAGTGCAGATAGTAAAATAGCTGTAAAATTATAATAATGGGACTCAATACACAATCCTTGCTTTGTCAGAGCTTATCTCTTAGGAGACAGACATCAAGCAGGTAATCACAAATAAAGGTAACATTACAATTCTGGTAAGTGTTGTGAAGAAAGACAGGTATTTGGTGATGTGAACATTATTGAGAAATATTACGGTAATTTAAGGGAAAATGTAGAAGAGTACCATTAGTTAAGGTTTTTGAAAACATCTTTATTGATAAGTAATTCCAATACTATACATTTTACCCATTTAAAGTATGCAGTTCAGTGGTTTTTACTATGTTCACTGATATGTGTAATTGTCACACAGGTGGTTTTAGAACATTTTCATCAGAAAGAAACCTGTACGCTTTAGCTATTCCTCCTGTCCTTCCAATTTGCCTTCCTCTCCTGCCCTGTGTTGTTTTGTTTTTTGTTTTTGAGATGGAGTTTCACTCTTGTTGCCCAGGCTGGAGTGCAATGGCACAATCTTGGCCTACGGCGACCTCTGCCTTCCTGGTTCAAGTGATTCTCCTCCCTCAGTCTTCTGAGTAGCTGGGATTACAGGCATGCACCACCACACCTGACTAATTTTGTGTTTTTAATAGAGGTAGAGTTGCTCCATGTTGTCAAGCTGGTCTTGAACTCCCAACCTCAGGTGATCCGCTTACCTTGGCTTCCTAAAGTGCTGGGATTACAGACATGAGCCACCACGCTCAGCCCCTGTGTTGGTTTGTTTTTAAACAAATTGCTGTGCACGTGCTCAGACAAAAAATTAGTTTGGCTAATTTTGAGTGTTCATAAGCACCACTTCTCTGCCGCTAATCCCTTCTTATTCCCAGGTCACTTCCTGGAGAGAATCATTTTTAATTTTATTTGGTTTAGGTCATGCCACAGTGATGAGATGCCACTGTTCTTAAAATGTGTACTAATTTGTATTTTAGTGGAAAAGAAAAAACACGATTTTAATTTTTTTAAACCTTAATAGACATCTCTTTCCCTACTTTGTATAGGTGATAATTTAGAGCATTTCACTTAAACCAAAACCACTTAGAATACATAATTTAAAATGTTTATCATATTTTTCTTTTCAGAGTCAAAGTTCATATAGTAACAAAGCAAACGTAGGCATATGCCTTCCAAAAATATTAGTTTAATTCATGAGTTAAATGCATGGATCCTAGTAGGCAAGTTATTTCTAGTCTATAACGGGTTAATAATTATAAAATCATTGCCATTATAAAGCGAAATAGTAGCTAATGTTTAATAAGCATTCAGTATGTGTAGGCACTGTGATGTGTGTTTTCCTATGCTCTCTCACCAAGTTCTCTATAGTCTGTGAAGGAGGGACTACTTTTATATCTATTTTACTTAAAGTGGAACTGACATGGAGAAGAAGTTTGAAGTCAGATCACTTGCTCAAGATGCCCAGTGAATAAGATACTAAAATGCAGGCAGTTGACTAGAGCTCCTGATGCTTCATACCAATAATTTTCAAACTTTATGGCCTTCACTAAACCTCTTCAGTAGGTCTTGGGTAGAGCTCAGTAATTTGCCTATCTATGTTCTCAGTTGACACTAATGCTGTTCTAATAACCACACTGGACTTAATCAGTGTTTTAAAACTGAATTGTAGGATTAGTGGCTTATGGCTGCAATCCCAGCACTTTAGGAGGCCGAGGTGGGCAGATCACCCGAGGTCAGGAGTTTAAGACAAGCCTGACCAACATGTGAAACCCCGTCTCTACTAAACATACAAAAATTAGCCAGGTGTGGTGGTGGGCATCTGTAATCTCAGCTACTCGGGAGGCTGAGGCAGGAGAATCGCTTGAACCTGGGAGGCGGAGGTTGAGATGAGCCAAGATCGTGCCACTGCCCTCCAGCCTGGGCTACAAGAGGGAAACAGCCTCAAAACAAAACAAACAAACAAACAAAAAAAACCCACTGAATTGTAAATGGATCTGTGAATCCGTTTAATCAGTTGTACCAACATTGAAAGTAAAATGATAAAACATGAAAGTATAATATATCATGTTATGATATGAAACTTGTTTCAGGTGTTTGTAAACAGCTATGTACTTAATCCACATATCTCTTAGAATGGGACTCAGGCAGAATAGTATGACAGCCTATGCTGTATTTACTCTTGAGGTTGCAGTCCTAGTGATTTGGAGCACAGACTAAAGACAGAATGCCTAAGCATTATTTTACTGTCTAGTAAGTACTTTCTATTATAGTTTTAGTAAAGGACATGCTTTACATTTCTACTTAATTTTATAATTGATTTTAATTGCTTTGTAACATTTTGATTCTGTTATATGCAGTATTTTAATGTGTTTTATTCTAGAGATTAGATGGATCAATAAAAGGAGAACTGAGGAAACAAGCTCTAGATCATTTTAATGCTGAGGGATCAGAGGTATGTATTAGTGCTTTTTAAATTATAAGTAATTTTGATTTAGTATTAGTATATTACCTTATTATTCAGTCATATTTTCTAATCTTTATGCCCAGCTTGATAAAAAATAGTAGAGTTAGCCACCTTTGATCAGCAAATGAGGTTTTAAAGTCACTATTCTAGGTTAAACCTAAGAATTTAATTTTAATTTTTTTTTTTTTTTTTAAGATAGAGTCTCGCTGTGTTGCCCAGGTTAGGTTGCCGTGGCGCGATCTCAGCTCACTGCAACCTCTGCCTCCCGAGTTCAAGGTATTATTCTGCCTCAGCCTCCCAAGTAGCTGGGATTACAGGTGCACACCACTGTGCCTGGCTAGTTTTTGTATTTTTAGTAGAGAAGGGGTTTTGCCTTGTTGCTAGGCTGGTCTTGAATCCCTGAGCTCAGGTGATCCACCCGCCTTAGCTTCCCAAAGTGCTGGGATTACAGGCAGGAGCCACCATGTCCAGCCAAGAATTGTACTCTTTATTATCAATACTCTTTCAGCATGGAACGGTTATTTTAATGTGTTTCAAAATAAATTAGATTGGGCACAGTAGCTCATCTAACACAAGAGAATCACTTCAGGCCAGGAGTTTGAGGCTACCCTGGGAAGCAGTGAGACTGCTGTCCCCCCCAAAAAAAGGTAAAAAAAAAAAGTAAATAAACTGGGCATGGTGGCACTTGCTTGGAGTCCCAGTTATTTGGGAGGCTGAGGTGAGAGAATCACAGCCCAGGAGTTTGAGGCTGCAGCAAGCTATGATCATGTTAATAGACTCTAGCTCAGGCAATAGAGTGAGACTCTGTCTCAAAAAAACAAACAAACAAAAAAAACCAAAAATCCAAAAAACAACATATCCCACTTTTAAATTTTTTTATTTTAATTTCCCTAGGTTTTTGGGAAACAGGTAATATTTGGTTAAACAAGCAAGTTCTATAGTGGTGGTTTGTAAGAATTTGGTGCACCCATGGCAGTATACACTGAACCAAATTTGTAGTGTTTTATCACTCACCCCCTTCCCACCCTTTCCCGCTGAGTCCCCAAAGTCCTTCTTTGTATCATTCTGAAGACTTTGTATCCTCATAGCTTAGTTCCCACATATGAATGAGAACATACAATGTTTGGCTTTCCATTCCTGAGTTATTTCCCTCAGAATAAGTCTCCAGGCTGGGCATGGTGGCTCACGCCTGTAATCCCAGCACTTTGGGAGGCTGAGGTGGGCTGATCACTTGAGGTCAGGAGTTTGAGACCAGCCTGGCCAATATGGTGAAACCTCATCTCTACTAAAAATACAAAAATTAGCTGGACATGGTAGCGCATTCCTGTAATCCCAGCTACTTGGGAGGCTAAGGCAGGAGAATTGCTGGCTGGGAGGCGGAGGTTACAGTGAGCCAAGATAAAAAGAGAGTCGCTGTCTCAAAAAAAAAAAAAAAAAAGGAATATAGTCTCCACCAGGTTGCTGTGAATGCCAGTATTTCTTTTTTACGGCTGAATAGTATTCTGCGGTATACGTATACCACAGTTTCTTTATCTACTTGTTGATTGATGAGTATTTGGGCTGGTTTCACATTGCTGCAATTGTGAATTGTACTTTTTATAGTCATGTTTGTGCAAGTATCTTTCTCCTGAAATGACTTTTTTCCTTCTGGGTAGATATCCAGTAGTGGGATTGCTGGATCAAATGGTAGTTCTACTTGTAGTTCTTTAAGGAATTTCCACACTGTTTTCCATAGAGTTCTTTTTTTGGGTATGTGCCTTTTATTTTTTAAGGAGATAAAATTTACAGTTAGAGTTGAAGCATCATTTTATTTTTATTTCATTTTCTTTCTTTTTCATCAGAAGTAAACTGTATTGAATTTGGTGTTATTAACATATGTATTTGATTTTGGAGTGTTTTTGTTGGTCTTGCTAGAGGTTTATATATTAGTTTTAAAAACTGCCTTTCTGTTTAATTAGTAATGTACTGTTTAAGTTCAGAAAATCAACTGAAAATTTTTTATTTTGATTATTCAATTTCTTACAGGATTTCTGCTTTTTGCTGTCCACAAGAGCTGGAGGTCTAGGGATTAATTTAGCCTCTGCTGACACTGTTGTTATATTTGATTCTGATTGGAATCCACAGAATGATCTTCAGGCACAGGCTAGAGCCCATCGAATTGGGCAAAAGAAACAGGTATTTTCAATTTTAATTTATATTATGTTGCTGTTTTAGAATTCTTTTTTTTTTGGTGGGGGGGAAGTGATTTCGGTTTATCCGCTAGAGGATAAGATCACTGGAATAATCATACTGATGTTTAACAGATAGGATACTGAGGAACGTGGTTTACCGAAATCACCTAGAGAGTCTGACAGAGTTGAGATAACTATATATAAATAGGATCATATATTCTGTTTTGATCTTAAATTCTAGTCATAACTATAAAATGCAGTTTTTCATTTCAGAACAAAAACTTTAAAAAGTATTTGCTTATTTTAACTTAAAAGAGAGTTTGAGTCGCATATACAACCTTTTTATTAATCTATATTTTGTCCATGTGCTTGCAAGATTCACCACATATAAATGCAGTCTCATTTTATAATTGTAACAAAATACCTTTAAATGGTGGTGCTGAACCTTTACCTAGAGAAATAGGGAAAATTTACTACACCACTTCTTTTCAATTTTGGAGAGTTTGTTTTATGGCGGGCTTCTTTTTAACTTGGTGAGTCGTTCATAGAATTTTGCATTATATAGAGTGATGAAACATTAGAATTGAGGCAATGAGTATAAGGTTGTCAGAAGTTTACATGACCCCTACCCTCAATTTTCCACAGCTAAATCATAACTTAAATATTACTGTCATTCCTTTAGAACAACAAAAATAAGCAAATGGAATCTCCTTACCAAAATGTTAAGAAGGAAGGAAAGGTATAGTTTCAAAATAGTCTCTTAAGTTGCAGAACTCTAGCTTTCAACATCTTTTTAAATTTTTCATTTTGCTTTTAATCAGTGAAAACTTCATGTGGAATAAGCTTCAATCTGTGTCCCAATGTTTAGGCACGTCAGATTAGCAGAACAAATCCTTAATACTGCAGTTTGTTTGCTCTTGTGTATTTTTACAGGTGAATATTTATCGTCTAGTTACAAAGGGATCAGTTGAAGAAGATATTCTTGAAAGGGCCAAAAAGAAGATGGTGTTAGATCATCTTGTAATTCAAAGAATGGACACAACTGGGAAGACAGTACTACACACAGGTTCTGCCCCATCAAGGTGGTTACTTTATTATAAAAAATGTCATTTTAGAGCCAGTATGTTCATTTTCCCGACATGTTATATCACTATAAGTAGATCACTGAAGAATTGTATTCAGTGTTGTACTTTTTATATTTTGTAAGACTTTGGACTAATTTCTAGTTAGAAAACTAGGAATACCTGGTTTCATTACTATAGATTTGTAATTATAATCTCTTTAACTTCTATGCTTCAAGTTTCTTATTTAAAAATAAATATACTGGCCTAGACAACATGGTGAAATCCCACCTCTACAAAAAATAAAAAACTTAGCTGGGCATGGTGACACATGCCTGTACTCCCAGCTACTCAGGAGGCTGAGGTGGGAGGATCAGGTGAGCCCAGGAGGTGGAGGTTGCAGTGAGCTAAGATTGTGCCACTGCACTTCAGCCTGGGTGAGAGCGAGACACTGTCTCAGGGAAAAAAAAAAAAAAAGATACTAATACTTGATTTACCTAACTTCTTCTTGTAACTGTTTTAATAAAACTGAATGAAAATGTCAGTAATTAATAAAAGTCATGTGTAAATGTTATATTTTTAACTGTTAAACATTTTTGTTTTTCCTTTTTTAGTTCTACTCCTTTCAATAAAGAAGAGTTATCAGCCATTTTAAAGTTTGGTGCTGAGGAACTTTTTAAGGAACCTGAAGGAGAAGAACAAGAGCCCCAGGTTAAAAATTTTGCATCAGGTCATGGGCCAAGGAAGGGAATAGAAAAATCCCCAAATGGACAACCCCAAAAAAAGACCCAGGTCTTAAAAAAAAAAAAAAAAAAAAAACACCTGCCTCACAATATGTGATATCTATTTGATAGGATGGGAGGATTCAAGTATATTTAAAGATTGTTTTTCTAATTTTAGGAAATGGATATAGATGAAATCTTGAAGAGGGCCGAAACTCATGAAAATGAACCAGGTCCTTTGACTGTAGGAGATGAATTGCTTTCCCAGTTCAAGGTAGATTTAAACAAAATTTTCCTTATAATTGCTTAAATTGAGAGGAATTGAGTTATCGTCATTTAGTGGTTGGTTAATTTTTCTTTAAGCATAATCAGGAATATAATTTTTGCCTTAAAATTTGCTATGTTGTATAAAAACTACTCTCCCTTGTTCAGACAAACCAGTAGCAAACTAATTTGAAAGAGACCAAATCTGTTTATGAAGTTACATTTAGTTGGGTGGAAAGAGCTGTTGTTTCCTAATTAGCAACTAGAATAGTGCTTGGCAAATAGCATGTCCTTAAATATTTGGGTAAATAAATCAATTAGTGTGATCTCTTATTTAGATTTCCGTGACTGAAAGCTTTCAGCTGATTTTTTATTGAAGCAGTTATTAACCTTAACTTACCACAAATAAGAAAACTCTAGTAAATCAGTCAAAGCAAGCAATAAGCTACTATATGTTGATACTTAATATCCCTGGTTTGTTGAGGGCCAGTGAGTTGAAGGGAGTCCTAAAGCAATATAAGTCAACTGACCTCATGGAGTAGGATAGGTGCCATTTGTTTAGCTATTTTCTATGAACTGTGGTTTTTAAGGATCAATTCATTTCATATGTTAATTTGACAAATATTTATGGAACATCTTCAGTGTACCCCACACAGTGAATAAAAAACTTTTATAATTTTAATGAATCACTCTGGCAACTGTGTGGATGATTGACTGTAGTGAGGCAAGAACTATAGCAGGGAGATAAGATAGAAAACTGTTCAATAATCCTGGTTAAGAGGTGAAGGTTTTTGGAACTGGTACTCTGGGCATGGTCTGATTAATTATTTTTTCCTATAAAGTTTATACTCTTGGCTTTTAATTTGAGTAATAGGTAATTTGAAAACCTGTTAAGTAAATATAGGTTATTTTTATAGCATTTAGTTGGTATGTGTACAGTTGATTTTAAGGCTGTCATTTAAATAACAGGAATCAATGCAGGCTGTATTCAGCCTCATTCTTTATGTAGGATAAGCATAGTTTTTTTGTCTTCACCCAGCTATATATTAATGTAAATTTTAGTGTACTAGTATTGATAGCCATTTTTTCTCTCTGTTTTTTTGAGATGGAGTCTCACTCTGTCACCCAGGCTGGAATACAGTGGCATGATTTTGGCCCACTGCAACCCCCACCTCCTGAGTTCAGGCGATTCTCTTTCCTCAGACTCCCGAGTAGCTGGGATTACAAGCGTGTGCCAGTATGCCTGGCTTTTTTTTTGTTTTATTTTTTTGAGACAGAGTCTCACTCTAGCCCAGGCTGGAGTGCAGTGGCCAGTCTTGGTTCACTGCAACCTCTGCCTGCTAGATCCCAGTTCAAGCAGTTCTCCTGCCTCAGCCTCCCAACTAGCTGAGATTACCGGAATGCACCACCATGCCCAGCTAAGTTTTGTATTTTTAGTAGAGACGGGGTTTAACCGTGTTGGCCAGGCTGGTCTCGAACTCCTGACCTCAAATGATTGACCCACCAGGGCCTCCCAACGTGCTGGGATTACAGGCATGAGCCACCTTGCCTGGCCATGGTAGTTAGCTTTAATATGTGCTCTCTGTATACCAGACCTTGCATAGTAACTTAAATGTGTTATCTTATTTAATCCTCACAATAGTATGCTCTCAGAGCTCTGTGTCTCTGCCAGTAGCTGTTTAGGTAGTGTTTTCGTGATCTTAAAAATGCTATTAGATTGTTCTAAGTACTTGATAGATGGACTGGTATGAGAATTTCTGTAGATTATTTAACATGTTAATAGTTAAATAATCTACAGAAATTTTTTTTTGTTGTTGTTAACTGCTTTTAGTTCTGTGATGCTACTAATTTTGATGAGCAGTAGGGCAAAAGAAAACATTCCTAGAGGATTATTAGAAGTCATTTCGTTCAATATGCTTTGCCCTAATGCAGAAATGAATCTAGGTTGTTTAGAAGTTAAATTTGGCTTAGTCCACAGTCATATTCATTATCCTAAGGATATTTAGGCATGCCAGTTCCTCCGCCTTAAAAAAAAATTAGGGATCAATTTTTCTGTAACAGTTATTTTAAAAATTCTGAAATTTATCAGGTTGCCAACTTCTCAAATATGGATGAGGATGACATTGAGTTGGAACCTGAAAGAAATTCAAAGAATTGGGAGGAGATTATTCCAGAAGATCAAAGAAGACGATTAGAAGAAGAAGAAAGACAAAAGGAACTTGAGGAAATTTATATGCTCCCAAGAATGAGAAACTGTGCAAAACAGGTGATTTTGTAATTTTTAAGATATTTCTGTAATGTAAAAGTATTCAACCCGGGCTGATTCTTTGAATTACAAGATGATCTAAAACCATTTTCTTTTTGGCCCTTTCAAGAATATCTTCTTCAGCGGATCTCTTCATAACTAGATGATAAATATTCACCTGTAAATATCTCATTTGTCTACTTAGAATAGCAATGTGGTTATTAAGCAGAATGGAAAACAACAAGTAATCAAACTGTCCACCCAGAGATACAATTAATTATTATTGCAGTGTACATCATTCCAATTTTTTTAGTGCATTATCATTTACCTTTATGAGGTATTGGTTCATAGTTTTCTTTTCTTGTAATGTTCTTGATTTGATAATTTTTGCCTCATGAAATGAGAATGATTTCCTCTTATTAATCTTTTCAAAGAACCAGCTCCTGGTTTTATTGAGTGTGTGTCTGTGTGTGTGTGTGTGTGTGTGTGACAGCATCTTGCTCTGTTGCCAAGGCTGGAGTGCAGAGACACAATTTCAGCTGTAACCTTGACCTCCTGGCCTCAGATGATCCTCCCACCTCAGCCTCCCAAGTAGCTGGGACTACAGTGTACCCCACCACACCCAGCTGATTTTTGTATTCTTTTTGTAGAGATGGGGGTTTTGCCATGTTGTGCAGGCCATCTCGAACTTCTGGGCTCATATGATTCATTTGCCTTGGCCTCCCAAAATGTTGGGACTATAGTTATGAAGCAATGCACCTGGCCTCTTTTATTTGGTTTCTTAAGTTGCAAGCTTAGATATAGAAATGTAATCTTTGTTTTCTAATAAATGCTTTTTCTTTAAGCATTGCCTTTTCTGAATTTTTGAAATCTGTTGTTTTTATTTTCCTCAATTTCAGAATTTTAAAAAATTTCCCTTATGACTTATCTTTGACCCACAGGTCCTTTTAGAAGTGTGTTTTAAAATGTTCAGATATTTAGACAATTTTTCAACTATCTTTGTTAATAATTGGTTGTTTAATTCTGTCATCGTTAGAAAGCATGCTTTATGTAATTTTAATTTTTAAAAATTTGTTGGTATTTATTCAGTGGCCTAAATAAACAAATAGCAAATTTTTAAATAACTGTAATAGTGCTATGCCAAGCTATATTGGATCCTTTGCCAAATGGGAAGCATTTTTAAAGTGGAATGTTCCCTTTCTCCAAGACTGTACCATGGAGGAAAGTTTTCTCCAGTCTTCTACCATGCTTCTTTCTCATGAGCACCTGATGGAAGTTTGTGTTATAGTGCCTGAGAGTGGGTGCAGGTGCTCTGAGTTTTAGCTGTTAAGTACTGTGATCTCACAATAGCCTGCACTCAGCCATTAATAGATTTTAGCTGATCTCCTCTTACCTGCTTGTATGGTACTTGATTTCTGTCACCTGTGTTATTCACAGATGAGCCACTGTTCAAGTCTCATCTTTTTTTCTGTTTTTGTAATCTCCTGTATTTCCTTACATTTAGATATGTAGGTTGCCCTGTGATTTCATCTTTCTGATGTTAAATTGAAAAGTTTTAATTTTGTAGATCAGATTTGTTGTTAGAATAGGAGCAGTGCCCTTACCAACTTTATACATAACAGCCAGAAGTGGAGCCAAAAATAATAGTTTTGGCCTGAAAGTAGCCATATATGTTATGTTTTCTTTCTGTTTATTTATTCAAACTCCTAAGTAGTTTTGTTTTACAGTGTGTAAGAATGCAGCATTACATTAGATCTTGTGAAAGGATCAAGGAAGTTTAGAAAAAATAAGGTTAAAATACTAGCCTTTACTTCATTTAACTTTCAGCACGTTAGAAGTTCAGAATATGTGCCAAGGCTTTGAAAAAACTCCTAAGACTTAGAGAATATATGGTTTGATGCATATGGATGTTACAAATAGCCTTTTATGTGGGTTCAACTGCCATTTTTTTCTTTCAAATATCTCATTTGTGGAGTTAGAATAGTAATATGTGGATATTGAGCAGAATGGAAAAAAAGAAAACTGTCCACCCAGAGATACGACTAATATTATTGCATTGTACATCATTCCAATTTTTTAAATGCATTATCATTTGCCAAATTAAATTGGAGTTGTATTAATTTGGAACTTTTTCTTCTTTTCGACAGTATGTCATGAATGTTGATTATTCTGCAACCCCATTTTTAATGGTCTGTCAGCATTATATCATACAGATTATTTGTCTGGTCTCTCTTTGATGAATATTTAGATTATTTGCTTTTTGTTTTTGAGACAGTATCTCACTGTGTTGCCCAGGATGAAATGCAGTGGTGCAGTCATGGCCCACACTGCGGCCTCAACTTCATGGACTCAAACGATCTTCCCAACTCAGCCTCCCAAGTAGCTGAAACTACAGATGCATACTACAGAAATGCCTGGCTAATATTTTAAATTTTTTGTAAATATAAGATCTCACTATGTTCCCTAAGCTGGTCTTGAACTCCTGTTGTCTTCCTGCCCTGGCCTCCCAGTCATGCTGGGATTACAGGGATGAGCTGCTGCACTCAGCCATATTTTTCTTTTATGATGTAAATAACTTTATTGATCAATGTTTCTTTGCAGTTCTGATCTCCTCAGGAAAAAATGCCTAGAAGTTATGTTGCTGGGTCAGTAGAATTACTTTTGAGGCTTTTGATATAATGTTGTCTAATTACCCTTTAAGTCAAAATACCCACCAGAGGTATATGAATGTTTATTTTTCCATACCATTGCCAGTATTGGCTATTGTTGCTTACTTAGTGTTGGTCAAGTTGATAGATTTAAAAAAAAAGAATTGCCTTTTATTGTTACTTTACATTTAAAAAAATTACCAATGAAGAAATCCCATTTTGCATGTTTTTATTTGATGAATTGCTCGTTAATAACCTTTCTCATATTTTTACAAAAGGACTGTTGTTATTTTCTTGCAGATTTGTAAGAGTGCTTTAAGTAGTAAGGCTATTAATAACCGATTGTCATTAATGTATTTTTCTCTGTTTGCTTTTTAATTTTGTTTATGGAATGTTTTTGATACATTGAAAAACATTTTTAAGATTCTGACCATCTGTTATAACAGTTTTTGCTCTTAGGATAAAAGCTGTTTTTACACTAAGGTTGGGTAAATTTTTATTTTCCAATTCCAGATTAGTTTCAACGGAAGTGAAGGCAGGCGCAGTAGAAGTAGGAGATACTCTGGATCTGATAGTGATTCCATCTCAGAAAGGAAAAGGCCAAAGAAACGTGGAAGACCACGAACTATTCCTCGGGAGAATATTAAAGGATTTAGTGATGCAGAAATTAGGCGGTAAGATGATAAAAAAACAATCGCTTCAACTTGGTTTTAGTGGAGAATGAAACTAAAATATAAAAATTCCATAATTTTCAAAAATTGTGATGAAGTTTTAGAAGAGGCAAATGTGTGTTATTTGAGGGAATTGGGTGGGTCTGCTTTTGGGTATTTGTTGTAACGGAACAAAACAATTTTGGTGTCTAATCTTTGCATGCTATTTATTGCTAAACTACTTAGACTAAAATTTTTTTTATTAATGTGACTCAGAATAGTGATCCTTTTGTGTAAAAGTATTTTTGATAAATCAGATTTTTTAATTAGAAATTCTCACTGCATTTATGACTCCCAAAGTTACTAATTTTTTGTGGGAATAATTTAGTTCTGTATTTTTGTAGTTTCTTAACACCAAGGTGACTTCCTTTTCGGAAGTAACCCTGTTAAAAGCATTTCTGATGTGTTCAAGTAGGAATTGAGGTGTGGTAAGACTGGCCATGTGGGATAAATTGTGGTGTCCATTCAGAGTATGTATACATTTCTTTAAGGGGAACACAATAACCACTTGCTTTTGTTTATGTAATAGTTTTGGATATGAAATTTATTAAAATCTTGTTCAGTTTTGTATTTTGAAAGTTTGTTGTTTCTTTCAAGCCATTGTAACTTTTCTCTTTTAAATCTTAGACCTGACAAAATTCCTCATTCTTTCTACCAGAAAACTTAATACATTGTTAGCCTTTTTTAAAGGTACTTTCGTGACCACCTGATTTGCTGGACTTTCCGTCTTTAGTTAGGAAGCATTTTGACTTCACTTTACCTGGATATTTTTCCTCATTTATTAACCACTTACCTAGCTTTCTTAAGTAAAATTTTAATTTTCCATTGTTGGTGTAATACCACACAACCTAATTAAAGGCATTCAGTGAATTTTTTATCAGCACTTGGAATGTGAGGAAGTGTACTATAATTGATAATCATTGTGGAGACACTTCCTATGGTAGCTTTGAACCTTTTTTGGTCTTAAGAAAATAATAAAGTAATTTCTAAAACAAAAGTTAGCTTCTGTTGTTTTATTTATACTGATATCTAAACATCATCCTGGGTGTTAAAATAAACCTTGTCTTACTTGGCGTATCTTAATGTTTTAACATTTTTGTTTTTAGCATAGTTCATTCTTAGTGCTTTGAATTAATTTTTATACTAACAAGTACTTTCTTATGTCTGTAAACATTAGAAATATATATATAATTTTAGTGAAATCTGAAGCTCACATTTAAACCAAACAATTATTTTCTCTTAGGTTTATCAAGAGCTATAAGAAATTTGGTGGTCCTCTGGAAAGGTGAGTACATTTATCATTCTCATAGAATTATGGAATATATTACATGCTGTCAGCTTTGTTTGTATGAAACATTTCGGTTTAGCTACTTGGTTAAATTTGCTGTTAATTGACATTTACAAAATTAATGGATAAGGCACATATCAGATTGATTTTTAAAAATGTTTTTGTACTTGGGAGGCCGAGGCGGGTGGATCACGAGGTCAAGAGATCGAGACCATCCTGGTCAACATGGTGAAACCCCGTCTCTACTAAAAATACAAAAAATTAGCTGGGCATGGTGGCGCATGTCTGTAGTCCCAGCTACTCAGGAGGCTGAGGCAGGAGAATTGCCTGAACCCAGGAGGCGGAGGTTGCGGTGAGCCGAGATCGCGCCATTGCACTCCAGC